CAAACAACTGTCACTGGTCAAAACACGTGAATGACGCATATCGCTATGAAACCCAGTATGAAACCGTGGAAAAGGAATATGACGAGATCAGAAAAAGGTACAATAAAGCGGTTAAAGGCCAGAGCAACGCAGAGGCTGTGATCAAGCAAGTAGAGGAAGATTTTAATAAAACCAATCGCATTGTGTTGAACTTCGTCGCCGAAATGCAACGTGGTTTAAAGAAGTTGTCAGAAATTGCCCTTAAAAAGGATCCACTACAACAAGTGGACTACTTGAATCTGCTCATAGAATCTGAGAAATCACAAGCAAAACCTGGTTGGCAAGATCGCGTGAAATCTTTGCAGAAAACAAGGGATGAAGCTGTCGAAATCAATCGTCTTGGAAAGCCTGGGTTCGATCCGTGGGAAAAATATCGAGAGAACGAGGAGACTCGTCAGTTCTTTCGGAAGCAGGCTGAAGAGGCTCAAGAAGGAATTATGAGTCAAGCATGGAAAAAAACAAAGAAGGCAGCAGGTAAAGCAAAGAAAACCATCCTTGGCTAAGTAAAAGAACGGTTTGGAACAACTCAAGCAAACTGAAGAGTTTCAAGAAGGATTAGAGGGTGATGCTTCGAAAATAACAAAGAACTAGGCTAGGCGGCCAGCCAGTAAAGTTTGCTGAGTGAAATACGGATTTGGACAATTGGAGCAATTAGACTATTTACTTGATTACGGACACTAAGGAGCGCTCGAGTGACACTTAAAAATAGCCAATCGCTGGAAATTCCGCGAGGAACAAACAGTGTTTAAACCTTAGTGAGAGTCTTTTATGTTACGGGGGAGTTTTTAATATTTTTGCCTAATTCTGGGAATATATAATCATCGTGTGTTATTCTGAAATCTTGTCTTAGGGTTATTCAGATGCTTTGCATGGACGGTAGGATATTAGATAAGTAATATATCATCCAAGAAGAGTTTCTTTGATTAATCTTGTGATATGGCCACGCCGAGAGAATATACGGTGTTGGGTTTCGTCACGATAGCGATTCAAATCTCCATTTCGCTGATTATCGATAGTAGAGAGTTTAATCAACGAAAACGGCAGTTGCAGCGAGAACGTCATCTTATAATCTTATTAGTAGTACTGATCTCTTNAGTAAAGTTTGCTGAGTGAAATACGGATTTGGACAGTTGGAGCAATTAGACTATTTACTTGATTACGGACACTAAGGAGGGCTCGAGTGACACTTAAAAATAGCCAATCGCTGGAAATTCAGCGAGGAACAAACAGTGTTTAAAGCTTAGTGAGAGTCTTTTATGTTACGGGGGAGTTTTAAACATTTTTGCCTAATTCTGGGAATATATAATCATCGTGTGTTATTCTGAAATCTTGTCTTAGGGTTATTCAGATGCTTTGCATGGACGGCAGGATATTAGATAAGTAATATATAATACAAGAAGAGTTTCTTTGATTAATCTTGTGATATGGCCACGCTGGGAGAATATACGGTGTTGGGTTTCGTCACGATAGCGATTCAAAACTCCATTTCTCTGCTTATCGATAGCAGAGAATCTAATCAACGAAAACGGCAGTTGCAGCGAGAACGTCATCTTATATATAATCTTATTAGTAGTACTGATCTCTTCGCAAGTATTTCAACCTTTCAAATAATTCAAAGCCGTGCCACTAGCCCAAGAATGAAACCGGTACTGACGGTACTTGCTTGGTACTGAGGTTCGTCACAAAACCTTAAATTTGGCCTTTTGACGTTGTCGTTTTGCACGAAACAACAATGTAAATGTCTGCGTGTATACTGATGTACAGATGTACTAATGTTGGCACGAATGTTAGGATATGCTTGGAATCTATTTGATATTTGTTCAACTGGCGTCGTTTTCATTTGATATTTACTCGAGCGACATTTATTCATATTTGATTAACTTGGTATTTCAGTT